TCAGTGACCATAGGGGTCTTCGGTTTCACAGAAGAGCCAACCGCGCTAGGTGTCTCATCGGCGCAAGGTTGCATGGGCTGAGGCTGTTCGAGTTGAGGGGTTGCGTCTGGCTGAGATCCGTTTCTTTGGAGTTTTGACCGAGGTGTCTTGGGAGATGCTCCTGCAAGGCTGAATCGATCCAATGAGCTGAGAACCGGGCGCAATTGGCTGTTCTCGCCTTGCACAAGGGCACCATTAGTACCGTTAACAATTGAGAGCTGTTTTGGAAAGTCGAACATTGCAACTGGAGGTCGTTGCAATTCCGGGTTGACTTGAAATGCCTCTCCTTTGAAACTTAGGGTTGGCCGTGAAGACCAAGTTGGCCGGGCTGCGATTGGGCCCCGTGTTCTCGGTCCTGGCTTCGGCGTTGGTATATCCTCATTTACTGGGCTTATTTCCATGCCTTCGCCACGAGCCTTTCCGTCCTTTTCTCCTTCATCGTTGTCAACCTCTCTTCCAGCATTCTCATCATTGTCGTGGCCTTTGTCTTTATCCTGGGACTCTTCTCTTCCTACGTCGTTCACAGCTCGCCGGTCTAGCTCTTGTGGTTCGTCAAAAACAAGTGTCGCAGTGTCTTGATCTTCAACTTCTATCACCGATTCTTTTCTTCCGCGTCGAGTTGGTGTCACTGTAGACACATCAAATGATGGATTACAACTCGTCTTTGACTTGGTCACATGATAAAGCAGGCCATTATCATTTTTCCATGCTCTGCCACATTTTTCGCAAACCCAAGGCCGTGGGGAATTCTCATTTTCAGTAGCTTGTTCCGCGTTTCCTTTTGGCCTATCCTCACCCTTTTTTGGTCGGCCGCGTTTTCTCCCGATGAGTAGGCTCTCAGTAGCGTTATTGGGTTCCAGTTCATCATCAACATCCATTCGGTTACTAGTTTCTTCGTTTTCGGCACCAGAATCGACGGTCCTGGTCTGAACTTTCCTGGCGGAAGATCTTGTTGGCCTAGTTCTCGTTGGCCGTGCAGGTGTCGCCACATCTGTCTGTGCCCTCGCAAGAAGTTCTTTGAGGGCTGCCGGTGATACTTTGAGAGTCACCACAAGGGTAGCAGCTTTTTGAGGTTCAGATACAGCATCATCCCGCTGATCTTCGTCAATTTCAGGTGGCGCTAGTGATTCAGGTGCTGGTGTCTCTGGAGGTAATTCGGGTTCTTGAACAATTGTTTCTGGAATCTGTGGGATCACTACTTCTTCAGTGGTTTCATCCTCTGGTACAACATCCTCTTGCGGTAAGACTTCTGGTGTTGGAGCACGTTGTTTTCGGCCTCTTTTTGCCTTTGGTGTTGGTGTAGGCTTCCCCTTCTTAGCTTTGGAGGCCTTAGGGCGGCCCACTGATTTTCTGTTGGCCATTCCCATGCTGCAAAGCTCAGCCAATGTTGGCGAGTTCTCATGAGATATCGATGACGAGGGTAGCGAGGAGAAACCATAGACATCTGCCGGAGTCGATGTTGTTTCTTGGCCAGAAGCATCGGCTGGTGTTTGGGGGTCGTTTGGTGCAAAGTAACGATAAGAGGCGACCTTTCCAGATCTCGTATGTTCGCTGTAAATCTGAAAATGGGCCAGATGGGGTGGTTGCAAGCCGGGAACCGCCAATGCCGTGGTCATTGAGGAAAGATGTCGGCTGTATGATGGGCCTAACGTTAAGGCATAAACATCCGGGTTTGTAAGTCCAACGTCTCCTAGGCGCTTTGCCATCTCGGCGATTATAACAGGAATTGGCTTGTCTAAAGACCATGGTGGCGATTTGGATACTTCGGAAACGTTCGAGGCTTGACCTATGAGTTGCTTGTTCCCATCATAGCCATCCAGGTCCGGGTTCCTTGGAGTCTTGCTCTTTCTCTTGCCTGTTGAAAGATACAGGGACCAATCTTCTGCATTGAGATCTCGGACATATTTGACACAGTCTTTGAATACCTTTTCTCCCAGCTTCGCTGCAACATACTGTATAACGCCTCGCTGGTTGAGAAAGCGACACACTTTGGCCAAGACCTTCATTTGCCAACGCATTCCCAGCACACCAAGTTTGGATTTCATGTCTTTCATCTGGAGGACTCCCCACTCCTTGACGATAGCCATAATGGTTGTTGCCAAAGCAATATAGTCGATAGATTCGCCAGTCCATCGTACGCGCCAAGGGACGGGTTCGAGATCTTCGACAAGTACTTGTCGAGTTAGTGTCATGTCTGGCCGGGCTTCGTCTACACCCTCGCCGTCTTTTGGTAAAGGAGGAGCGAATAGCTTCAGCCACATCTTACTCGTCTTTGTGCCGCGTACAAGTGTTGTTCTCTTGACAATGTATCCTTTCTTAAGGAGACTATCTGTTCTCTTTGGCACACTGCGCTTGTCTTGATCCGTCAGGCGCCCAAGATCTCCCTGAAGAATACCTTGGGTAGTAGTTGAGGCTATACCCAGAAGTAGCATCCATTCAGACTTAGGTACGCGCTTGTAGTCAACTGCATGGCCGGTAAGAGACTCCCACATGGTATCCTCAGAGGCGTAGACTCGAACATTGTGGGGTTCTGTAGGTTCTGCATTTTGTCCAGGGGTACCACCAGCAGTTGAAATCGCCAGTACTTGGTCTAAAGTTAGGTGATTGTACTCGCGATCAGCGCCAACGGAAATATCCCGTCTCGCAGTGAGCCAGCTCCAAATGGTCGCGGCAGTGCGGGCTTGTACAGCTGAGTCACCCTCAGATAATGATTCTGTTTGGGTTGAGGGATGATGAATAGCTTTCAAAACACCATCCACAGGACAGCCTAGAGTGAAGCAGTTAGTGATTTGTTCTTGAGTAGTGGCAGGAATTAAAGTAATCAATCCATAAACTTGCCTTCTTCGCCATGGCATGAGATGTGAACCAAAAGGCCCGCGATCAAGCCTTCGAGCTCGGATGCCATTTTATTACATGTATCCTATAGTTCATTCTCAAGTCGATGCGACGCGTAAAAAAAAAACTTGACGAAATTGGTCTGGGGCGAATTGAACTGATGAGCCCCAGCGCAAAGATCTTTGTTGCTGCACGAAAGAATGATGAAGTGGGGATGGCGGGACCTGAAAAGGTGGAGGACTCAAAGAGCCGCATGAGCTAGGTTAGTACCTTAGGGGGTGAAATGATGACATAAGCATCCTTACCCTTCAAATTCTCAATTCTGAAGTCTCAGTTGCAACAGGTGTATAGAATAAATGTATAGAACTTGGGCTTCTGACTTATTCCCAATTTATCAGGCCAGTCAAAAGATTGTGTGTTGGATTAATTGAACGAGAATGACTGCATTCCCAATCTTTTAATGCATGCAAAGTACTAAGACAAGCGAGCAACAGCACTTGACATCTGCTGAAGAGAACCTCTAGTAGCAATTGGATGGACTGTGTATTGCGTTTGAGGCAAATACCTTGATTGCACAGGACTTCATATTTACTCAACTTTTTTAACCTGATATCGTGGTTTGTCAATGCTACAGATGATTTCTATTTTCCTCATACTCCTTGTAACACATACAGGTAGATTGTTGTGCTGAACCCCATTTTTGAGGTCTGATGTCAACCGGCTTTTTTCTCTCCACCCAATCATAAACCCACCAAAACCTCACTTTGACATTCTTGCAGAATGAATGAGCCAGCAACGCCACAAGAAGTTGCTTCTGAGGATGGAACAGCAAATACTTCAAGAAACAACCCATTACCTACAGACAAAGCCATCAAGAATCTCATTTCCACTTTCAACGAACTCAACAGCAATAGTATCGATGAGCTCTACGATGAACCTAGTCCCCTAGAATTTATGCGATATGTTGCTCGCAACACACCATTCGTGATAAGGGGCGGAGCTTCGTCGTGGAAAGCTTGTCAGGATTGGAATTCTGCGTACTTACTCTCTGTAATGAAGGGGCACTATGTGAATGTTGCTGTCACGCCATATGGGTTAGTTCCCTCCGCCGGATATGGGCAATAGAAGGAGTTGTTCGCTGACTCTGACAGCAATGCTGATATGCCTACTGTGCCTCCTGGTGAAGAATCTCTGGTCTTTGCAAAGCCTCACTATGAAGATCAGCCCTTTGAAGAGCTGCTTGAGTATGTAGCGCGCCAAGGCGCGGATCCTGATTTTCCCCCTGATGCCGAAGTGCGATATGCCCAAACTCGTAAGTTAGCCTATTTCTCTCCCAGATGCGTTGCTGAATGTCCTCAAGAAAATGATAACCTGCGTGAAGAGTACATCACTCTCTTCTCAGATGTACAAAAAGACATCCCTTTTGCAAGAATAGCGCTAGACAAGAGCCCCGATGCCGTAAACTTATGGATCGGTAATTCTAAATCTGTTACAGCTATGCACAAAGATAATTACGAGAATATCTACGTACAGATTCTGGGACGAAAACACTTCGTTCTACTGCCTTCTTTATGCCACTCCTGCGTCAACGAGCAACCTCTCAGGCCCGCAACGTACAGGCGAGGAGAGAATGGCATGGAGCTAAAGATGGATCCTGATGATGAGGCTGTTCCTTTCGCAATTTGGGATCCGGATAAACCTGAACAAAATGCCACAAAGTTCTCTCATCTTGCCCGGCCTTTACGAGTAACATTGAACCCTGGAGATATGCTTTATCTTCCGGCTATGTGGTAAGGCATTTTACAAGCCTGTCTTTTCCACTAAACATCAATTACTAACACCGGCTAGGTATCACAAAGTGCTCCAATCGTGCGCCGAGGAAGACGAAGGGTTCGTCCTCGCCGTCAACTACTGGTACCAAACCACATGCTTTTGATTACCCCTGCAATGCTAACCAGTCCCTAAACTAGGTACGACTTGGACTTTTCAGGTCCACTTTATCCTACATCGACTTTTGTTCGTGATATAAGCCTGGAAAATAGAAAGTAGTCTAGAAAATCGCCCCACACAGCATAAAACCGAAACACCAGATCCATGCCCCCGCCTCAACCCGTTGCCACCCATGATTACTTCTTCTTCTTCGCAATCCTCTTCTGCGCTCGCAATTCCTTCTTCATGCGGCTATCTACCAGTTTATACCTCCCCTTAACGCCGTTAGGACGACCCTTGATACCGCGGTTAAGACCGCGAGCAACAACAAGCTTAGGCTGTTGCTTTTTAGGCCTCTTTGCTGCTTTCGAGATAAGGCGCGAAATGCTGTCGGCCTTCTCTTTCTCCGTCATATTTTCGTCATTGTTCAGTAATTCTGACTTCTTCTTGAGTTTCTCAAGCTTCTGTGCGGCCTTGAACTTCTTGCGAGCCTTGGCCTCGCGCACCTTCTTGATGGGGCGAGCATTGAAAGCTCGCATCTTCTCCTTAATTGCCTGCGCGGCAGCTTTGCTGATGGGTTTCTGAAGCTTGTCATGTCGTGATTCATCCTCCACAAACCAGTCTGGTAAACCATCACGATCGCGGAAGGCATACTTGTTGTAACCGTCATCAATAGCATCATGTGTCGTCGTTTGGCCAGTGGCGAGCCTGTGGGCAAGGGACATTGCTTCAGCAGTGATAATGTCGATATCTGTGTACCTGTTAGTACTGTGTGCTATTGTCTGAGGAGTCTTGCCTTACCAGGTCTTCCATCGGCTCGCCGGGTGTCCTTGTCCCAATCGTCATCGTCATTTCGCTTGACAACCTCGAACCCATCCTCATTGTCCTTCATCTCGGCATCAGAGTCAAATTGGGCCGCTTTGGTCTTGGTAGACTTAGCAGGAGCCTCAGCTTTGCGATTCTTTGCTTGCTGAGCCATAATGGTTTCGGCATCTCGATTGACTTCCTCATCCGCGCTGTCCTCAGCAGCATCTTCATGCTCGGGCAAGATTCCGCTTATGCCCGAGAAAATGTCTTGATCGAAGAAGGCCGTTGCTCTCTTCGATAAGCCGTTTGCGCCCTTCGAAGAATCCAGATCTCGGATAAGTCCCTCTGTAGGGGCTTCGTCTTCGTCAGAAGAGAAATCATCCTCTTCAAGCTCCGAAGAGTCATCCTTCTCATCCACTTCCTCGCCTGACAGACCATCCCACTCATCGTCGCCAAAATTCTTACGGGCCTTTTTCGCTCGGTACTTCGCATCAACCTCAGCCTTGCGCTCTTTGTACTGGTCGTACATGGACTCAAGCTCTCGCTCCAAGCGATCTTCTTCAGGGTCGCTCTCATCGTCCGTCTCTCCTGATGAGCCGAGGCCACTGTCGGCCTCCTTCTGGGTCGCTTGTGTGGGAACAATCATCTTACCACGATTCAATCTTCGCATGGCGTCTGTCTTGTCGACTTTCTTGAGCGAAAACATTGCCCCTTCGCCAATTGGTCCGCTTTCTTCTAAACCGATGTCGAAAGGCGTACTCATGTTGAGTTGCATGCGCACTACCTCGCGTTGCTTTCGTTCGTTTTCCTTTCGCTTCTCTCGTTTTCGTTTAGTGTTTTCTCGGTCCTTCATGTTTTGTAGTTCTTCCTGGATCTTGAGTTCCTCATCCATTGACTCGACTTCAGCCACTTCCTCGGGTTCCTCAACCATTGCGGTCTGTGGGGTTTTAAGTTGAAAGATGTCCCTGATCTTTAACCGCCACTTGAGCAAAAGTTTGAAATCTTTTCGTCCCAGCACTCGTAAATCCGAACAGCAGTTTCGAATTTCGTCTGTGGTCTCAGGGAGTTTATCGAGCGCAGCCAAGGCAACATCACCGTTAGGTGGTTGCTGGAATGTGAGTTTGTTGTAGGATCCCAGGATTGCGATTGGGTCTGTTGTTTGGATAAATTCCGAGGCCGCCATCTCTTTGAACTGTGTGTAGTCGCCTTCCTCATAACCATCTCGCTTTCGCTTCTTGACTTCGGGGTTATAGACTTTAGCCTCGTTGTTTGGATTTGGGCCCTGGAGTTCCGCAAAAACATATGAAGGATCAAGCAGTCGCGGATCCAGCTTCTTCGGGGCCTTAAATCCCTGACATACGAGAAAAATCTCCGCCGACACAGATCTCGACGAGCTAGGCTTCGTAGCTTCGACCTTAGTGAAGAGCTGCTTGCAAACCCATAGTAGGGGGAAATATTGCTTCGACCTAAACACCTTTGTCACGAAAGTCCCTGATTCCTTCAAAAATTCCGCAGCTAGCCGCAGGGATTGTAAAGCGAGCTACAATGAGGCTCATGTCAGTCGGTGTCTAGAGAGAAGAGTAATGTTTCAAGATACAAACCTCAGCTTGGTTGAACGAGTCTTGAACCCAGGCAGTTCCAACATTGGGCGCTCCGTCATGTAGTACCGTATCGACTTTCATTGTTTTCAAGTGCTGTTTGATGACAGAGCGGCAGTGAGGAGTTGTTATGTCATCTTGCCAAGTTATCGCCCTCGGGACTGGCTTGATTTTGTCGAGGTCGCATCCGAGCAATAAAGCTCCCTGCGGAGTACACTCCGAGGCCACTTGTAACCAAGACTATATAAGAATTCATCAGTGAAGCTCTCAACAGCGGATTGTGATACTCACACCAGGCGCCGCGCAAAGATCAAGGACGACCCTACTTCTCTCGAGAAAGCCATACTTCTTGTTGATCTGGATAAGCTTGAAAGCTGCTCTCGCGCGATATCCTTTTTCCTTTGCAAGTCGGTACCTGGATATCTTCGTTAGCTTTTATACTAGCTTCACAGTTTGGATGAGCTTACCATTTGTCGAGACGCCCTTTGCCATGCTAATTCCTTTGTTAGTTTACGCTTTGAAGAGTACAGCAGTTTCGTTACCTTCTTTTGGATCGCCATATTCGTGACTTGGGACGAGCGGAGGTGTTGCTGTCTGCGAAGGCCCAAGTGGTGTTGAGGATGTTGTAGAGAAGGACGACACACGATCTTCTCAATACTCAAAAAAGTTTGGCCCCACCAGAAATTTTGCGACCGATAAAGCCGTCACGTGCAGATAAGATCTCTTTGTTTCTGGCACTGAAATGGGGGGCCTATACTCCGTAGATCAGTTAGTATTGATAATGATTTCTCGGGAGATTGTTAAGTCAGCCTCTGTGTCCTAGGAGTGGCACTATAAAGTGAGGAGATGAACAAATATGATTTCTTTTGAGAGCCTGCATTGATCTATTGCTGAAATTTTTGACAAGGTTATCAGTAAACTCAACGTCCATGAGCCACTATGGCACAGTGGGGCTGATTACCTAACCCCCGCATTAGCTTCTCATTCTCGAAATGGCGGCACGAATGATATCAGAAGTTATCGGGAGAACAGACCACATTAAAAAGCGGCTCAACTCACTCAACCTTGAATGCTCCTCGCCTGCCTCGGTCATTGTCACCAACAACTCGGGCGTGTCGTCGGCCCTCACCATCAAGACTTTGATCTTGAACTATTGCAAAACGGCCAGCGACAACCATGAGCGGACGAGTCCTCGCTGCAGGGCTACGGCCTCTCCCACGCCGCGCTGCGGTTCTTCCCGTTAGACACCTGCATCGCCAATCTACTGGCGGACTTCTTCAAGCCGATGCTGCGATACGAGCCACCCGAAAGCGAATGTGGCAGGGCGGAAATGCATTTCACAATGCCGTTACTACGAGGAATGCCTCCTTCGCGAGGTTTTTGCCCAAGCTGATGGTCAAGTTTCTAAGGGTGCCGGCAATGTTTGGCGGTGTGGCCATCGGTGCTTTTGCTTGGGTACAATATCAAGCTGCCCGTACGTCAAGACTCGGATAACAAAGTTGCCAATGGTTTCACTAATTTAACGCAGAGGCCGGTACATTCGCCGTGAATTTATTCAACACAACCACGGATACTATATCGAGTACGGCTTCGAGCTTGTTCGGAGGTGCCAAGGATATCGCCGATCAGGTCAACCGAGGGTGGGAAAGCACGAAAGAAAAAGCAGAACTACCTGACTGGGCCAAACAACTCTTTAAAATTCAAGAAGATATCGGCACTGGCGGTTCGGGAGGTTCGGGCGGTGGTGGTGAGCCAAAGCAGAGCAAGTTCGGTGCCGCAGCTGCTGTTGGTGCCTCAGCCGCCGCCTACGGATACGACAAGTCGGATGAAGAGGACCCTCGAAACGGCGAACAGGCGGCCAAGGATGACCAAATGATGGTTCTGACCAAGAAGATGATCGAGATCCGAAGCATTCTCCAGAGAGTTGGCCAGTCAAGTACCCTCACACTCCCCTCTATTGTGGTTATTGGCTCTCAGTCCTCAGGAAAGAGTTCCGTCCTGGAGGCTATTGTTGGCCACGAATTTCTTCCCAAGGGATCCAACATGGTTACAAGAAGGCCGATCGAACTGACACTTGTCAACACACCCTCATCTAGGGAGGAGTATGGTGAATTCCCTGATCTCGGATTGAGGCGTATTTCCGACTTCGGATCCATTCAGCGAACGTTGACTGAACTTAACCTTGCCGTTCCTGATAGCCAGTGTGTCTCCGACGACCCGATTCATCTTACAATTTATTCCCCCAATGTTCCCGACCTGTCACTTATCGATCTTCCCGGCTACATCCAGGTTGTGGGACAGAATCAGCCTCTGGAACTGAAGCAGAAGATTTCCGAACTCTGCGACAAGTACATTCAGCCTCCCAATGTCATCCTCGCCATTTCAGCTGCCGATGTCGATCTTGCAAATTCCACTGCTCTTCGAGCATCTCGTCGAGTTGATCCCCGAGGCGAGCGAACTATCGGTGTTATTACCAAGATGGACTTGGTTGACCCTGTCCGTGGAGCAAGCATTTTGAATGACCAGCAATACCCTCTGAGATTGGGTTACGTGGGTGTTGTTCCTAAGGCTCCTCAGAACCAGGGTCTCTTTAAAATGGGAAACACTAACCTACTCTCACAAATTGTCAAGCACGAGAATGCTTTCTTCTCTTCTCACCCCATGGAGTTCGGTCCTGAGGCCGGTGTCAATGTTGGAACACCCACGTTGCGTAAGAAACTTATGCATGTCCTAGAACAGACCATGTCTAGCAGCCTGCAAAGCACCAGTGATGCTATTCGACAAGAACTCGAGGAGGCCACTTACGAGTTCAAGGTCCAGTACAACGACCGACCTCTTTCAGCCGAGTCTTACCTTGCGGAGAGCCTTGACGCCTTCAAGCACTCTTTCAAGCAATTTGCAGAGGAGTTCGGCCGCCCTCAGATGCATGAGCTACTGAAGCACGAACTCGACCAGAAGGTTCTTGATTTGTTAGCTGCCAGATATTGGAACAAGCCCATCGATGACCTTTCACCAATTAATCCTGACCTTGACAACCTCGCCGACCTCCCTAAGGCTCCTGCTGACTCCCTTTACTGGCACCGACAATTGGATGCTTCCACATCCGCGCTTACGAAGCTTGGTGTTGGACGTTTGGCCACAACAGCAGTTGCCTCTTCCATTCAGGCCCACATCGATTCTCTTATCAGCAACTCCAGCTTCGCTAGTCACCCCTTCGCCCGACAGGCCATCATGGAGGCTGCCTCTACTATTTTGAACGAGAGATTTTACAGCACCAGTGACCAAGTGGAAAACTGCATCAAGCCCTACAAGTTTGAGATTGAGCTTGAAGACCGAGAGTGGATCAAGGGTCGTGACCACGTCGGAGGCGTGCTCAAGAAGGAGCTCCAGGACTGTGAGAAGGCCATGAAGAACTTGGAAGACAGTGTCGGTGGACGACGAAAGATCAAGGAAGTTATGGCATTTGTCGACAAGGCCCGCAAGAGTGAGGTCGCTGTGGAGGGCGACAACCGTAGCGGCGCTGGTGGCTTTAGCGCTGCTCTTCTGAGCAAGGGTAAGTTGACCATTAAAGTCACAGCAGCTTGGTTACTAACCCTTCATAGGACGTGAGGCTGTCTTCTTGCGCGACAGAGCCGACATCATCAAGATGCGCCTGCTGGCTGTTAAGTCAAAGCAGTGTGCTGATCCCAAGAACAAGTATTACTGCCCCGAGGTATTCCTCGATGCTGCTGCCACCAAGCTAGCATCTACTGCCGTCCTTTTCCTCAATGTTGAGCTCCTTTCCGAGTTCTACTACAACTTTCCCCGAGAGCTCGACCTCCGTCTAGGACGCCACCTGTCCGAAGATCAGATTGAGAAGTTCGCCAAGGAAGATCCCAAGATTCGCCGACACTTGGAGGTTATTCGCCGCAAGGAGCTGCTTGAGTTGGTCCTTGAGAAGATGGAGAGTCTACGACAGCTTGAGGGCCGCGATCGCGAGAAAGGAAACTCCAGCTCGCGACGCGACCGCAAGCAAAGCCGATGGGGTCTGTTCTAAATGGGCTTTCCCTTTAAAAATGAGAAATGAGGTCATACTGGGAGTAAGGAGTTGAATGCTTGGTTGTTGATTTTAGAATATCACCGCAATCAGAAAGACAAGACAAAACTGCCTAAGGAACGCGGTTGTTGGGTATGCTTAAGGGAGACTTGTTGGTCTCTCTAACTGTATCTTGTCAACATATGTATGTATCCAAAACCGCTTGATGGCAGGCGGATGCAGGGGGCACGTTGTATGAGGATGTGTATAGAAGTGCTTGATTACGCGCAAGGATACCCTCCTCAATAACATTGAATAGTACAGTCTACTCAAATAACGATAACTACTAACATGACGCTACATTTATGTTCTCTAGATATATGTGACTGTGTAAATCATCATGTACAGAATTTGTCATTATTATCCCAACGACAGAAAATTCCTTGCTCTTATGTACTACCTTCAGTGGTCATTTGTAATGTCACCTCCCATCGAATACTGCCTCCATGGCCGTATCCCTCGCCCAACCTGTTCTGGATCAAGGCTGAGATGCGCTGCCGTAGCTTGCTGAGCGACATTTCATCATAGCCCTTGACAACACTCAACTTGAGGTTGGCCATGCAGAGACCATAGTGAACTTGCCAGAACTGGGCATCATCGATAGTCACCACGCTAGGTTCGGTCTCAATCTCCCTCAGAACGGCACTGACACCGTTATTTCCTCCAGTGCCGCCATAGGACATGAGCAGCATAAGACCCTGAGCTACAGCGAGTCTCATTCCGAGAGCAAACATGGCAAAAGCAATGACGACACAGATGAGGCGGTCGAGCCATGTGTAGAGCGAAATGGAGAGTAGGGGAAGAAGAGCGATGACAGCGGAGAAGGACAGGGTGAGGAAGTGGAAAGGGTTAGAGAGGACACTTGGAAGAGAAGCAAGGTACGAGACACGCATGAGTTTAGCAATGCGAGCATGGTTTCGAAGGCCATATGCCGAGACCAGTGTGCTCACCATTGCGGCAGCAGATACGAGGTCAACAGAGCCATCTGGGCCTTCATGACCATGTTCATGATGAGCCTCGTGGCTGCCAAGTGACTCAAGGAAGTGCTTGAGAGTGTGCGAGATCAAGTCAAAGCCTCCAAAAAGGAGGAAAACGGACATAGCGAACCCGGCAAGGACCTCTGCTCTCTCGAGGCCAAAAGGGTGCCGAATACTGCTACGTCGCCAAACTTCAAAATTGCCGAGGACATCAACCATGACACAAACAGCAGCACTACCGGCGTCAAAGAAGACGAGATGCGAGAGGGCTGTCGTAGCAAGAGACCCTTCTGAACGGAAGAAAACATATGTAGCCACGGCAAGATGGCACATACTCCAGTAACAGTGGATGCGCTGGTCTTTTGTCATGCTTTTCCATGCTTCGCGAACGGTCGGGATCGGTAGAGAAGCGGGGAGAACGGGAGGCGGCCTCTGCGGTGGCTCTTTGAAGATTTGATGTTGTGAGGAGATACTACTGTGTTTGTATCTATGTCCGCGACGCTGTCCA